CCCCCTCCCTGACCCCTCATTATCCGCTTGTCACGCCCCTGGCCAGCTAATTGCAGTTGGCCGGACCACACCGCGAGTCGAATCGAACACCTTGACCGTCGGGCCCGTCGGGCCTATAGCGGCCTAGCCCAGCCCAGCCAGCCGCCCCGTCGTTATCTGCTGGTTTGGCGGGACATTGGAGGGACCTGCCTGCAGGGACCTACCGGAGGGGTGGTGGGGGGCTACATGAAGCGACCTAACCTGGAGGGTCCTTACCTAGAAGAAGGTCGAAACCTAGAAGGACCTAACCTAGAGGGCCTTGACAAAGAGTGTGACCCAGAGGGACCTAACCTAGAGGGACTTAACAAAGAGTGACCCAGATGGACCCAACCTAGAGGGGCCTAACGAAGAGTGACCTGGAGGGACCTACCTGCTGGACGGACTGGAGGGTCCTGCAGGTCGGCTCGTCCCCCGTCCCCCGCACACAATCATGTGGTTTGTCCCGGCCGCCGCCGCCGCTGACGACCATCCTCCAACAATTTGTCCGACTCGACGACGGCAGCTTTGTTTTGCGTCGGCCCGCGAGGGGGACACCTGCAGCTGCCGCCGCTGCCCCAGCTGCGGCCTGCGGTAGCCTGCGGTAGCGGCGCGCTGTCTCACTCGAGCTGATCGACGGACGGATTGCAATTGCAGTTGGCCGCATCTGCCCAGCTGGCCCGGCTCGTGCCTGGACTGCGCGGTGGACGCGGAGGGGAGGGGCGGGAGTAAAGTGGATGGGGTATACTTTCCAAGGGTCGAGCTGACGCACGCTTTTTACTAACACCATAGGCCTTGACAGTGATGTGATTTTTTTATCTCATTGAAAAAAACAAAAAAAAACATTAATATTTGTCAGAAGTAAAATTGTACTTTTGTAAATCAAAACCTGTTTCCCCTACAAATTAGGCGTTGAACGCTTTTTGGTATAGTCACCCTGCCTGTGACGACCTCCCTGAGGACAGTGTACTGAGCGTGAACGTGTGTGTTGTGTTGTCCGCAGGCTGGTGGTGCGGTACGTGATGCCGGCGGCGCACCTCACGCTCCGCGAGGAGGACGTGGTGCGTCTCACGCTCGAGTTCCTGCAGAACCGGTCGCTGCACATCTCCCAGCTGAGCGTGGAGCGTGAGACGGGCGTCATCAATGGCGAGTACTCGGACGACGTGGTGTTCCTGCGGCAGCTCGTGCTCGACGGCCAGTGGGACGATGTCCTCGAGTTCATCCAGCCCCTGGAGGCCCTCCCCTCCTTCGACATGCGAAGGTTCAAGGTGCGTTTGCTCGTTGATTACAGTCAGTTGAAAGTTTCGCCGACAGTTCTCATCAAAGATAGTGTGAATTGCAATCAAAGGTCAAGCCAAGGGGTACTTCACTCCAAAAAAAGTGTACAATATAAAAAAAAATCAAAAAAAAAATCGGGGAAAAGTCAACTTAAATAAAAAATAACAAAAGATGTCAAGGAAAAAAAACAACAGAAAAATCGGTGCACGCCTGAATTTAAAGTGAAGTGTGAAGTACCCCTCGATTGAAGAAAAGTGTACGCGAAGTGATCGAATTTGCACTTACAAAATGCATCCACCTCTGCCTGCAGTACGCCGTGCTGCGACACAAGTACGTGGAGCTGCTGTGCATCAAGAACGAGGCCGGGCTGCACGGCGCCATGGGGGCGGCCTGCGGCATGGACTCTGCCGTCGACGAGGTGGTCAAGGTGATGAAGGAGCTGGAGAAGTACGCCCCCAGCAAGGAGGAGTACTCCCAGCTGTGCCTGCTGCTGACGCTGCCCCGGCTCACGGACCACCTGGCTTACCGCGACTGGAACCCCAGCAACGCGCGCGTGCAGTGCTTCCAGGTGCGCCCCCTACTGTTGCATTTGTTTTATCTCTGACTTCCTCCGGCCACGCGCTAGCGCTCGCCCGGTTACTTTGCCCTTTTTAATTATTTTCTTTTACGCCTTACAATTTTTTCTCATTTTTTCTTTCAGGAAGTCTTCCCTCTAGTAGAAAAATTTCTCCCCGGCGAGAAGAAGCCGCCCGATGTGAACTCGCCGAGCAAGTGCGCGCGCCACGACCGGCTCGTGCAGCTGCTCATCAAGGGCGTGCTCTACGAGTCGTGCGTCGCCTACTGCCAGGGCAAGGCCACTGGCTCCCCGGAGGAGAGGTCTCAGGTCAGTCCCAAATCATATCCAACAATTGCTTTGATATTGTACTGAAAACTCTCATGAAAAATTACAGCTTATTTGGAAAGTATTAAATCTTTTGTTGGTTTTTACGTTGTAGAGACCTTTTCTTAAA